TAAATACCAGTTAAATTAGGTAGGTCCTAGCGATATCTAATGTGGCACCATAAAACTAGTATTCCCATGAAACTCCTTGAACCTGGTCGTGGAAAGACAAGTCCTAGTTAATAACAACTCTAACTCTCTTGGCACATAAAACAAACATAAAATCAAGCCAAGGAAGTTAATAAGTAAACACAAGTTGAAATGCGAATGAGAAATACAAATCTAAATGAGATTAATAAGTATTTACAACATTAGTTTGATATCATTTAGCATCTACATCTAAACCTACAGTCCCAACGAAAAGCCAAAGAGAAAGTAATGACATGTCTCTCGAACCCAATGGCGTAGCAGATTCAAGAATTTGTTGAAGATTAGGTTTAGGACACACGAGTTAGACAGTGGCACTGATCGAATAGAAGGTTGAAGGGAAGGGCGTCGATGAGGAAAAGGGAGGCCGGACAGGAAACGAACTCAAAAGCGTAGTGTTTCAAAAGGTTGGCGTAGAAATCGGGTTCACAAATTTTCAGCACATCATATGGTAGGAGATTAGGGTTTGAATTCTCAAAGGCGCTAAATCTCCGCGGAGAAAATAATCATACAAAGATCCACAACGTCCGAAAATTGTACAGAAAAAAGATCGAGAAGTTTACCTGCGATCAAGAGATGAAGAAGCGCGAGGGAGGGAAAGGCAGCGCCACCGAGTGCGACGGAAGAGGGAAGTCGAAAGGCGACTGAGGGGAGCGGCTAGGGTTTGTGTGGGAGACACGACACAAGACTATCTATGAGTAACGGTCACTTTTTTCCTTTTTTTTTTCTTAAATAAATAAATTGGGGAGCACGGAATTGAACTGGGCCGAGCCATTGGGCTGAATTAGGTGGGTTGGATTGGGCCTATGGAATCAACACGTGTATATCTAGTAGTTTGCTTCCCGGCCTTTTCTATTAAAAAAATTCAAACCAATCATAAAAGATTTGATTTCTCATTTTCAAATTTTTTTTTATTGTGGGTAGTTTTTAGTATTATATATATATATATATATATATATATATATATATATTTTAGGGAAGGAAATTCATTAATTAAAGTCCACTCGGGCCTACAGATGAGGGGAAATTCCCTGGAACAAGGTTTAGTAACCACGTAGGATACTGATGAAGCAAGAAAAGATCTAGAATAAGATAAATCATACTTGACAAGAGAGTGGACTGTATTATTACATCCCCTACCAACATGAGTGAAATAAATTGAAGAGAAAGAGAGGGAAAGGGATTTTACTTCCATCAGCTGGCTTAACTCATCATAGAAACTTCACCATTAAGGAGTTTAACTGAGTCTGATTCAACCTGCAAATGAGAAGATTAAAGAGAGATTGCCAGGTCTCGATGATGACTTTGATTTCAGCAAGCAGCGGAGAAAAGTTGACGGGAACCACTTGGAATTTTGCGGCCATGATCGAACCGCTAGAATCTCGAATAATAAGACCGAAGCCTGAGCAATTGGGTTTACAAGCTGCATCGACATTGAGCTTCAAGAAGTTATCTTCAGGGGGATTCCAACCCATGGGCTGGCGATAGGGGTAGAGCGTTGCATGGCCGGACGAAGGCTCTGATCTACTTGCAATTGCTCGTAGGTTGTGGCATATGAAGAAATCCAGGTACATTTTTGGTCGACTGACATAAGTTGCTTTCCATTAAGCACAGAGTTACGATCCGCCCAAATTGCCCAACAGTTCGTTGCTGCGAGATCCCAATTTACCGAGTTGACCGAAGTTGAGATCGCCTCCCAAAGGTCCATAAAACACTAATTTTGGTTCTGAGAGATCCGAACAGCAGCGAAAAGACTATTCCAGATTTTCCGTGCTCGCTTGCAGTAGAAAAGTGAATAGGCAACAGTCTCCGGTGAATTAGTGCAGCTATGGCAATAAGGTACCACATCTAAACCCTTTCTTTGCAGAGTAGCTACAGATGGTAGGAGGTCATGAGATGCTTTCCACATGAAGATTCTGATTTTTGTTGGTACTCTAAGTTTCCAAATTGATAACCAATAGTGACTGTTGTTATGATTACTGGTTGATAGCATGGAGCATTTTAAGTTCATAGATAGCTTATAGCCACTCTTTACATTAGATAATCATCTCTTATCAAAATGTCATAACCACGAATCTGTTGGGTAGAATTAGTATTATATTTGAGTTTGAAACATTGACCATTGATTTTTATAATGGTAATAAGAGTATGTTTGGGAACGATGGTAGAATTAGTAATTAGAAAAAATATATATTGAAGTATAATTAATTTCAAGTGATACCTTAAATCAATTTCAAGTGATTTTATATTTTCCTAAATCAAATTTTTAATTTGTCCATAGGAAGTGATTTTGACAATTAACGAAAAAGTTTTCACCCCAAATACACCTTAAACCTTATGTATCTTAACCATTTGAGATGTGGTTAGATTGTATTTGACATCTTTAAACTACTATCCGTTAGGTTAGAGTTATTCTAGCTTTTTAATGATTATGTTCCACAACAAAAAGTAAATAGTCATTCTCGTCGTAAGGAAAATGATCTGACACGGACTAATCTGTCATGAATTCTAGAAGTTAGAAAATTTAAAGGATCTCTAAAATAAAGGGTCAACCAGACTTCCGACCCCTCCCCTGAAAATATTTTACTCATTATTTAGAGATCATAGGTTCAATTAGCATTTGTTATACCAAAAAATAATAATTTTAATTTTTTTAAATAATTAATTTGTAATTTTTAAAATATAGGTACGAACAAAAATTATAAAACGAGTTTGAAAAATCCTGCTCCAATGCAATGGCCAATGGGCGAAGGGAGGCAGATGCGACACGGAACCGCGGGAAAGAGGAACCCGTTGGCGTTGGCGTTGGTCGCTGCGCCCATAGATTGGCAACCTCGAAGCTCCCCCACTCTCCAAGACCCAATACCCATTTCAGACTCTCAACGCCAAATTCACAGCGAGTAGAGGCAAGGCAACCATGGTGACGCTGGTGGTGGCCAAACCCAAAAATAAATTTCGTTTTAAATTTTAAGTTTTATAATCCCAATTACAGCCAACCTAATTATTCTTCTGCCGCTCTTCTTCCGTCGATTCTTCTTCTTTCTTATTCCTCTTCCGCCGCTTCTTCTTCCGTCCCTTTCTACTGCTTCTCACGCCATTGAACGCACGACCAGGTGAGTAAACTTATATTTTTTAATTCTATTTTTTAAAGCAAGTTATCATGTTATAGTGACTTCTATATGCCCTTCACTAGATGTTAAATCTAGTCTAAAGATTTCTGATTTTGTTGATTTACTTGGTTAAGATCTCTGTGTAAGAATTTTTTAATTATATTTTTTAAAGCAAGTTATCATGTTATAGTGACTTCTATATGCTCTTCGCTAGATGTTAAATCTAGTCTAAAGATTTCTGATTTTGTTGATTTACTTGGTTAAGATCTCTGTGTTGGAATTTAGTTAAATTTTCATATAAATTCACTTCTTTTTATAKTAAATAGCGAATCTTAATCAGCTGATTAGATATAGTTCTCAAATGTGTGATTCTGGGGGGCCGGACCCGGCACTTAGTCAATCACCTAGGAACTGACATGTAATTCATTATATGTAACTGTTTGAGTGGTTGGGGTTTCTCTTTTGGCTTTTGCCAGTTTGAACTTTGAACTCAACCTTTTCTCTTTTTATAATTGAAATAGACTTTCCTGTTCTGCTGCACTATTATTGAGATTTTACAATTTCTGAGGAGAATATTTAGGAGTTTCAATGGGTTACAGTCACAGATGATAGTCCATTACTTTGAATAACTAATGTTCTTCATTCTTCACGCAGCTTAAGTATCAAACTGGCGAGAAATAGTTGTGTTTTTGATTGCTGATGTTATGGTGGACCACAAATTTTTTCCTTTTTCTCTTCCATTTAAACTCAGCATCTTTTCGTTGCTGTCTTCCCATTCACAAAAGTTTTCAAAGTTGTAGAATTTCTTATTTAATAAATTGATGTTTCATTGCAGGTTTGCCTAGGTGTAGCTCCTATCTACTGACCGTTGCATTTCCATGCTATCTTTCTTGAAGTTTGATTCTTTTGAAGGTTCTTTGCCTCCACGATCTCTTTAAACTATGAAACTGTGTAATAACGTGTTCTTTTGTCTTGTATTCTAATTGGAAGTTCCACGTTTGTATTACTGCTATTATTTCCTCTTTGCCTCTTTTAACCTATGATCTTATGTTGTTTTGTTAAAGAAGAGATTATTTTGATCTTTGTTATTTTGGTGCTATTTACACTTACTGGTATGTAATGCTCAAGTTATGTTCTGTTTATCTTATTTTATCAGCTTGACGTATTATTTCAACTTCAGCTTTGAAGATAACTTATAGTTTCACTATTTTTTAATTAAATAAGTTATACTTCAGTTTTACAACATAACAAATACAACCGAAATATAACCACTTATACACTTGATCTAATGTGCTCTCTTAACAGAGTAGAGGCAAGGCAACCATGGTGACGCTGGTGGTGGCAACTACGCTTGATCCAGCATCCATCAATCCTGCAAACGAGCTCCTTGCCATGCCCGGATGGCGTTCTGGCCCTTCTCTCCAGGTTGATTCTCTCAATTGAAATTCCCCCATTTCCAACCCCGTTTAATCTGTTTCTTCTGATCATCAGGACATCAAAAGCTTCGCTAATCAAGATGTGAGGCTGCTGCAACACCAAAAGAGCATTGTGGTGGAGGACGACCTCGACAATCGGTGGGAGGAGCTCACCGGCGAGGTGGTCGATGAGGTTATTTTCTTCAGCCGGCACACTGCCGTTTCCAATCGCCCTGCACTAACTGTTCATCCCATTGGTATGCTACCTTACATCTTCTTAGGCGTTTTTGCAAATGAATCGGAACATTAATTTCGGTTGTGAATTTTTTGTGTTCGAAAGGGGTTCCTCATCTGCGTGATGGAGAAGTTCCTCTGCAAGGAGGGAAGCCTGGATGGGCGGCCCCGCCGAGCCCTCGTATAGGCCCCTGGCTAAGGCTCTTGAAGAGCATTGCGCAATCTCACAACCTAGTGCCAGAGTTCGAGGTTTACAATATTTATCTTCTGTTTCTTTTTGTAATACTCGGGTTTGGCGTATTTGATTCATAACTTCTTCGAAAGATGAATGTAGATAACATTGGAGGGTACTCATCATGGACCTGTGACAAATAAACCGACCATGTTTCTGGAAATTGGTGAGTATTTCTTTTTGGTTGTATAGGTGTATCCCCCCAAACAAAAGAAGTAAACAAATGAAATAATGTATCATGAATCTGTGGGATTTTAGAACTTGGTTTGACGTTCGTGCTGGTATTTGTTATAATTATCTCGATTGATTAAGATTCAGTTGTACTTGAGTTTTCCTGCCCCAGTAACTATCTACTGTCATTGGCTTGTAAATGGGGATAATTTTGACCTTCCATTATGAATGGTTGTTCTGTACATTGTGAATTTGGATTTAGGTTAACTTTATTATAGCTTCTTATACTTTGAGAAAGCTGGCTTATAATGAAATTTGGAACGGAAGAATTACCTTGGATATTCAAAACTTGTCAGAGTAGATTTACCTGGATGCACGACCTTCTTTTCCATTCAAATTCAAAGGAATTAATGAAGTTGCATAAGTCACCAAAGGTGTATTTGAGTTATTTGGGACTCGTTGGATGAATGGTATCCATTTATTTATGAAGGATAACCAATATCAAGTCCTTGAGAGCACGTATTGAAGTGCTTTGCTTTCCTTTTTTAATGAAATACAGGATTATACTTCTGGTCAAAATGAATTGTTTCTCTTTCTGATTTTGGTATAGGCAGTACAGACGAGTATTGGAGGAGGCAAGATGCTGCTCATGTTGTCGCTCTAGTTGAGTAATCCTGGACAGCCATTTTAACTCTATTGATTATTGTTTGTTGTTATCATCGATCTCATGACGTGGCAATGACATCATTCCTGGATGCTTGCAGCTAGTTTGGGAAGGACTTGCAATTGGAGGAGGAAATGATGTAGGAAACTGGAAGAGGTACATTGGTACAAGTACAATTATTAGGATTACGGTTATAGTTCTTGTTATTTTCCCCTAATATTTACCCCTAAATTTCAATAGATTGTTTTAAACAAGTTGTCCACCCATCTTATCATTGAATTCTGTTGTCTAGTTTTGGTTCAGCTGCCTAATTCTGTGATCTCTCCAACTCTTATTTATCCTGTCATCTCTCTATCTAGGTGGTTGACAATACATAGTTTCTAAAGAACAAGCTTCTGTTAAGATTTTATTTAGATTACTAATCACCCTTAACCAAATAATTGAGTTTTCAGGATTAGTGGTACACATGAAATGTCACTGTAGCTAAGTCTTTCTCTTTGTATTTTCATTTCCTCACCAATGTGTTGGTCCGCATTGTGCAAAGTAAAATCTAAGTCCATGTCGAAAAGATGTCAAGACATCATTTGCGTAAATAATTACATAAATCTTTTATGTTTTTTAGCCTTTGGAGTTGGTGTTGTTAACAGCTTCCTAGTTTGCATTGCATGCACTGTCAGTTTCCATGTTTATATATTTCTTCACTTACCTTCTTCTACTATTTCTTCGGCAGGAAGATCTTTTCTTCTAAACGTTTCTTGTATTACATAATTATATAAAGCAGGGAACATAACAAGAACAACAAAGTCCTTCTTGGCATCGGTGGTGGACATTATGCACCTCGCCACATGGACATAGTTCTGTAAGTATAGTTACTGTTAGTTACTCTATCCTTTATTTTTCAGCCTTCATACGTTTTTTCGCATGATTAGTTAATCACGTCTTTTGCCTATCCCACTGTATAGTCTTTTCTTGTTTTTAATGTGACCTGCATGAAAAACAGTGATTGGGGACATTAAAGCTCACAGAAACTTCTTTTGGTTATCTACTTTACTTTTATGTTTCAAGTAAGCGTTGGCTTGTAATGCGAAATGTCATCTTCCATGGTTCTGATTCACTTCAACAAGTTTGAAAATACACTTTGAATGGAAGTAGACGTGTTCTAACGATTTATCTATTCAGCAATAGTGTGTTTCTTATCTGAACAAAAAGGGGGAAAAACAAAAGCACTTGTCCAGTCAATGTTCAAATGGTTTTCTTTTAATCCTTCCAGAAAAGATGGAGTTTGGGTGAGCCACTTGCTCTCTGGATATTCCTTGCCAATGGAAGATCCAAACCAGTCAAATGGAGATGCGAGCAAAAACGGTATTGGCGGGAGCTGGAGAGAAGCAATTAAAGCAGCATTTGAGGCTACTAAATCGGCTTTCCCCGATGGAAAGATCATAGCACACCTTGATCACAAGTAAGTTCATTCAGTACCGTAAACGTCAACTTTCGGCTTCTCGTGCATCAGAACTCTGTATTTTATGGTGATAACCTGAGCAATGTAGTTATTTGATGTGATGATTTGCTTCTGGTGTTGAATTGCAGGAGTTTCAAGGGCTGGCAGAAGAATGCCATAACTGGGTTTCTGGGTGAACTGGGCATCAAAATTGGCAAACCAAATGACTTCTACTGAGATTCTTTTTTGAAGAACTCGCTCAAGATTATCTTCAGGGCTTCGGCTGCTCAACTCAGGATTTAGTAATCAGAGGAAATATCTATAACATTATAATATCATTAAGTATTCAATACCATATTACTTTATTACGTTCGTGCTTGCTTGAATACAAAATTTTGAAGATTGAAATCCAATCTCGAAAGTGAAGATGGACTTGTTTGGTTACATTCTTGTTATGTTTCTTCAAATGTATCCAATTTGATATGATTTTTAGATTATTGAAAAAGTTTTTTTTTTAACAAATTGTTTCACTTTTCCATATTTCTCTAGTTAACAAAGGTCAGATGAGTGTTTTTCACAAACAAAAATACAAATTGAATAAGGTATGAATTTTTTTTTTAAAGAATAGGTTATGAATTTACAACAAAAGAAACATTAACGAGTGGGTATTATCTCGGAAATTAATATATATACAATATTATGAAAACTTGGATGGTATTTGGCTATAACAAAGTGAACAATAATAATCAATCATATTCAAGAGAAGCCTTTTAATATTTTGATGCAACATTGATATTTGCATTTTGTAAGCTATTTAAGGAATGGTTTTAGGGTAGGTGAGACATCTCTTTCTATTACAATAAATCCCAAAACCATAGGCCATACCATTGCTAGCCAAAGGAAACAAAAAAAGTTTTTATTCTCTCTTATAGGTGTATCTACAATTGGGTAGGCCTCACCATATTCCTTTCTCCTAATGTTCTTATTTTAAAATTTTAAATGTAGGGGCAAAAAACCCACTATGACCCCACTTGCCAATTGGAGGATTCAAGCTTGAAAAGGGCAAATCCTTGTTGCCCCCAACAATACTTTCATCGTCTTTTGAGGTTGTCTTTGTCATTTACTTGGGGCACCTCTCCTTTGATTACATTATTAACATATAGGGTAAATATACCAAATCCTCACTTTTTTATTTATTAATTCTTAATTTTGTCGATTAAGAAATCGTTATATAAACATATTTGATTCTAATGCAGTGGATATTCATGATTGTAATGCATGCCGAGGTATTATTATCCAGTATTTATGCAAAGAATTGCACAATGCTGTTAAATGAACCAAGTTCGAATCCGATTCGGCTTGACCTGAACTCAAGAATGAACCTGCACAAGAGGGCAAACTCTCCGACGCTCAAGTCAGTGTAGGCCGGACTCAATATAAAGTTCGAAATGAGATTCGATACCTGAGCGGGAAATGAAGCCCTCTATTTATAGGTGGCGGGTCCGACAGTACTCACGACCGGCGGTTATCTTTGTCCTTTTTCATGTCGAACCTGTCCGGTTTGAGCAGATCGAACCCGTCCAGGTCGGACTGGAGCTTTTTACACTTAGCCTTGTCGATGGACGAACACAGTCTTCTCGACAGGTTCGAGGTGGACTTGGATACTTTATTCCTTGAACACCAATGAGCGTCCTCCAATGTGTCCCATGTATTTTTACCCCCAAACATCCGACCAAATACCCGGACTTCGTGACGTCTATCGATGAGGTCGAAGCTCAAGCTGCATGTGAAGGTCTGAAATTAACGATGGAGACATCTATCCGGTTCAATTGGAATTAGATTATTGGCGCGTCTTCAACTTGTTCCAACAGCAAACGGAGGATGTTTCAGAAGTGGGAGAAATTGTGGCGATGGCGAGAGGGCTTTTACCTGTTGAAGCGTCCAGCTCGTTCCTGTTCACCAGAAGAGAGGGGAACGAAGCCGCACTGGCAAGGAGAGCTCTTCTTCTTCGAGAAAGCAATATCTGGTTGGAGGGATGGCCAACGAAACTCCATTCCATTTTTGCTTAATTGTTCGTACTTTTAGTCTAAAAAAAAAATATTTGTACACGTCGAGATGTCATTCAAATGCTAACATCAGTTAAATCAAATCCGCCCATCCGTATCAATTTATTCAAGTGAATGTTTAAGTGACGTTTTTACGAGTGTCGATAAGGACCAATGTAAATAATAAAAGGCTTCGATGGAATTAGTCCAAATAATGGAAGTCATTTATCTCGAATTTAATATCCTACGAGTTACTTTGAAAATTAATTTTCATTTTTATATTTTTTGTTCAATATATTTGACTTTTTTCTGCATGGAATTTGGTTGAGTGTTGTGACAGCTATTGAGCATTTATTATTTTCTACCATAAATCAAGCTCCATCTTCCTTAGGCACATATGCAGACTGGCCATTATTTTGTCAAATTAATAATATTTTAAATTCATATGATATAAAAAAAGAAAGAAAGAAATACTTGTAAGAAAAGAAAAAGGTGGATTTAAACATCTTCACCTTTGACTTCAATTATATATATGTACTTTCTTAAAGAAAAAAAGAAACTATATGTTTGTACTCATGTATATAGTTTTTTTTTTCTTTACTTCACGACTTTGATTCATTTTTTGTATCTTTGTACTTTCAATTTCTGTTTATTTTAATATATGTATTATCAAATATCTGTTTTAGTTCTCGTGCTTTAAAAGGTAGTCATTTTAATATCTTCATTGTCATTTTCACTTAATTCCTTTATATTACAATTTTAATATGATACTTCATCACTAAATTTTTGTAATCGTAACTATAAATTTGTTTTAAGAGATTTCTGGTATAATATGTGTTAAAATTTTAAAAATAAACATAAAATATTCACTTTTAAAAAATACAAGGAGCAAAACATATGTTTTGAAAATAAATTGACTAAAATTAATAATAATTAAGAATATAGAGATTAAAATCAATAAAATAATAAAATAATATTTATTTTTTTAAAGGGCATATAATTTTTTAATTAAGACACCATGTACTATAAAGAATAATATTAGGTGATTGGACTTAGTTGTTTTGATGCTATAAATTAATTAACCCTCAGACTTTTAACATATCAAGTCTAGAATCCTGGATTCTTGATGGAGGAGTATAATATTTTAATTTTGATTAGTAGAAAATGGGGGAGAAAAATTAATTGAAATCAATCTTTATCTTTTACAGTTGACTTGAACATAATTTAACGGGTTAAGATTTTTATGTTCGATTAAAAAGTTGTGAGTTCAATTTTTCGTCCCTATATATTATACTAAAAAAATATCTCTCACATGTTTCTTTGACAATTCATAAGGATATACTACATTATATTATAAATTTTAAAATGTCCCAAATTTTAAAATATTAATTTCGTTAAATTATAAATTTAGTCTCTACCTTTAAAATTGTAGCTAATAAAATTTTTAATTAAGAAAATAKTGTTATCATGTATTTAACAAGTTTCTCCACTTCAAAAAAATGGTTAATAGGTGATTGAATTTTTATCTTATATATCTAAAAATCTATTATCCATCAACCTTCTTTAAAAAATTCAAAGACACACGATTGAAAATTTAAAATTCAATTAAACACAAAATTTATTTTACCTTTAATAGGTCTATTAATTTTCAAAATTTGATCGAAAGACCTGTTTTTTGGTCCAACAAATTGGTCCAATATGAGGGGAGTTAATAAATTTGTYAGCCATTGACTAAATTTGTAATTTAACTTGTTAATTTTAAATAACATTTAATTGCCAATTATTTTGAACCGCTAATTCATGGGAATTATATAAATTAAAATCACATCGGAGAACTATCAACAGCTGTATTTTGATCGAATCAGGCACAACAATCCGGGGCCCACTAAGATTACGTCATCATTCGTCATTTTGAACTTTTGATGTAATCCGGGGCCCTCTGCAGACACGTGTAGAGGATCTCCGATCCCGTGCCACGTGTCTTTTTCAAGCAAAACAGCCCGGCCTCGAACGCATACAGTTACGGAAATCCAACGGTCATAATTTCACGCTCACGATTTCATGCGTAGGTCCGGCCATATTGGATCACTACCTTTTTATTTATCTATTTTTTTTACGAAGGTCAGAGTGGTGGGATCGATGAATCTATGTATGTGGGCCCCGCCGCCAAAATAAAACAATTAATTGAAAGAAAAAAAAAGAAAAAGAAAAAGCATATTAATACATTTGGCAACGAAGTAATGGATTCTGAAGCTGCTGTTCCGGCGATACGAATCGGAGCAGGAGTAGTGGTTTCCGGTGAGTTGATTTTTCCGGCGAGAGAGTAGCGACGCAAAACTCGCCACCGGAGTTATTTGATTTAGCAACAATAGCGGAACGCTCCGGCAGCTCCGTTACGTACGCCGGCCGTTCTTAACTGAAGTTCACAAAGCTTCCTTCAATTACGCTACAAGTAAAGCGAAAGAGTTCGGTGAATCGGAGAGGCACAGAGGAGGCATTTCGATTGCTCTGGATATTTCTTGGTCCAGTGATCGTCGGCGCGTCATGCGGCGGAGTTTTGAGGAGAAATTCCGGTTTTCGGAGGAGGTTGGGAAGTAGGTGGATTGAAAATTTGAAAGTGAAGAAGAAGAAGGAGGCTCGGATTTTTTATTTGGTGAAGAAAACGAAGAATTTGGTGAGTAAGTAAGCGAAAAGCGAAGTTAAAGAAGAGGAGCGGGTGGGGGAAATGAACGGAATCATAATTGAATACTATACCTGCGGAGTATTAATTGGGGACTGGAGTGGGTAAGAGCATTTGTTTTCCTCCCTTCCTTTATTAATTGCTGTGCCGTGGCTAAATCTGCCATGGCAGGTGACCTTCTTTTTGAGGCTGATAACAGAAATAATTGGGCTCTCTCTTTGTGCCTCTGCTCCATCATAAATTCAATCACCAAACTAGGGCGCTCCTCTTCCTACTCTTTCAATCTCGGCGTTCTTTTCATTTATTCATTTTATATTATCAGGAGGTTTCTGCCTCAATTTTATCGCATCTGTTCTTCTGGTTTTTATATGTTCCAGAGGTTGATATTTTTGTTCTTTACAATTTCTTGTTGAACTATGTATTATGATATTGTTTGAATTTTTTGCTTCCTGACTTCATATTTCCATTTTCCATTCTCTGATGTTTTGCAATTTCTGAGGTAGGGGTTGGGATTGATTTCATCATTAGTTGGAGATAAAGGAGAATAGGTGGGAATTTTGATAAAGGATGATTTCATACCCCCCTTCTTTTTTATTATCAATCATTTTAAGTTATGATGTTTCTGTTGAAAGTTTTGTTTGCTTTTGAAAAGTTCTTCCGGCTTTTTTACCGCTCGTCTTTTTTTCTCTTTTATGAGTATTTGTAACAGGCTTTGGATTCCCAGCACGTATAGCCCAGAGAATTTTTTAATTATATTTTTTAAAGCAAGTTATCATGTTATAGTGACTTCTATATGCTCTTCACTAGATGTTAAATCTAGTCTAAAGATTTCTGATTTTGTTGATTTACTTGGTTAAGATCTCTGTGTTGGAATTTAGTTAAATTTTCATATAAATTCACTTCTTTTTATAGTAAATAGCGAATCTTAATCAGCTGATTAGATATAGTTCTCAAATGTGTGATTCTGGGGGGCCGGACCCGGCACTTAGTCAATCACCTAGGAACTGACATGTAATTCATTATATGTAACTGTTTGAGTGGTTGGGGTTTCTCTTTTGGCTTTTGCCAGTTTGAACTTTGAACTCAACCTTTTCTCTTTTTATAATTGAAATAGATTTTCCTGTTCTGCTGCACTATTATTGAGATTTTACAATTTCTGAGGAGAATATTTAGGAGTTTCAATGGGTTACAGTCACAGATGATAGTCCATTGCTTTGAATAACTAATGTTCTTCATTCTTCACGCAGCTTAAGTATCAAACTGGCGAGAAATAGTTGTGTTTTTGATTTCTATGTTATGGTGGACCACAAATTTTTTCCTTTTTCTCTTCCATTTAAACTCAGCATCTTTTCGTTGCTGTCTTCACATTCACAAAAGTTTTCAAAGTTGTAGAATTTCTTATTTAATAAATTGATGTTTCATTGCAGGTTTGCCTAGGTGTAGCTCCTATCTACTGACCGTTGCATTTCCATGCTATCTTTCTTGAAGTTTGATTCTTTTGAGGTTCTTTGCCTCCACGATCTCTTTAAACTATGAAACTGGGTAATAACGTGTTCTTTTGTCTTGTATTCTACTTGGAAGTTCCACGTTTTTATTACTGCTATTATTTCCTCTTTGCCTCTTTTAACCTATGATCTTATGTTGTTTTGTAAAAGAAGAGATTATTTTGGTCTTTGTTATTTTGGTGCTATTTACACTTACTGATATGTAATGCTCAAGTTATGTTCTGTTTATTTTATTTTATCAGCTTGACGTATTATTTCAACTTCAGCTTTGAAGATAACTTTTAGTTTCACTATTTTTTAATTAATCGAAATCCTTGCAATTGATCTTATCTCTTGACTCTTACCCTGAGGTTGCCTAGACAATAGTGAATTGCTAATTCAGAGGCCAAGACAATCCTCCACTTTTTGCCCAATTCCGGATCTAACTTGCATTTGTAATTATGCATCTGCAGAAAGTGACCATCCAGTTTACCATTCAATTACCAGCCCAAAGTGTGTTCCAAAACTACTTGAATGCAACTACGATACTCTTGAGTCACAAAACCAGGTCATGAGTAAAAATCCAATTGGACTCTCATGCCCAGAGAAGATAAACCAGGAGGATGCCATTCAATCTTCATATTCTACTGGTCATGAGAATAGTTGCACGGGTACTAAAWTTAGCTGCTCGTCTGTAGATGGTTTTGATGATAATGCTGATGGTATTAGTGCATTTGTGGCACCATCCAGTAAGAAACCCTCAGACTCGTACGTGGACAAAAGTGTCATGGAATTTCAAATGCCAAAAACGATAGTTTGTGACCAAGAAATTGATGTCAATGATGTGAAGGACATCTGCATTGACGATGGGTTGTCTTCTCTGGAAAATTTCTTCTTTAGGAGTACGGATGAGAAGTCAATCTTCAAAATCCTTTCTCTGGAGGAAGATCCAAATGAGAGTCCTATAAAAGAACCAGAGAATTCTTCTGACGTCTCCAAGTCAATAGCAGATGATAAAAAAATTTCTTTAGAAGACCACTTTGCAAGGGATTGGACTACTCATGATGATGCTAAGGATTTGACACAGATTGAGGAAGCACAACTCGATCTGAGAGAGGCAAAAGTTTCGTTGCAAAAGCTAGTTAGAAAAAGTTGCTATTCTGAGACTTTATACAACATTGGTGTCCAGGTATGCATATTTCTGGCCGAGTTATTGAGCATGTTCCTCTTGCACACCACGTTTGTTTTATTTTAGACTGCATATATTCAAGGAAGTTCATTCTGAATGATAACTAATGCAATGAATAGTGGAATTCCAGTCTGTACTTTCAGGACAATGATGAAGGATAAATTAAAAAAAGGACAGATTGGTGAAGTAATTTTAGACTCGATTTCTTTCTTTTGACTGCAGATTTCTGGTGAAAAAGCAAACTTGGATGACTCTGCTTCGGTTTCCAAATCTGTTGCTCTGGGTTCTTCGGCAGAATCACCAAATGATAACAATCCAACATATCCTTTAGCTCATAATCATGAATTTGAGAATGGAAGTATTACATTGAATTTCAATTCAGTCTCTCCTGTGGTCAATGGTGGAGAAGAAAATCATGGAAATACCATCTTAAACTATCCAGCACCCTTGGCAAGTAGTTCAGTGACACAGGAGTGTCGCCAAAGTAGTGGTTCYGCAGTTGAAACCCAAGTTTCAACCAATCTGGAATTTAGAACTTCAGATGCTCGATTAGTTTCAAGTCAGACGCAGCATGACATTGGCGAGTCTAGCTTCTCTGCTGTAGATCCGTTAGCCAGTCTTGTTACTTACTCGGGCCCAATAGCTTATTCTGGAAGTATCTCCCTCCGATCAGAAAGTAGTGCGGCAAGCACTCGTTCTTTTGCCTTTCCCATGTTAGTTACAATCTTAATTCCGTCTCTTAAGCTTCTTCTTTATATATTTTTTTTTCTAAATTGTAATGGGTAATTATTTCGTCACCGGGTTTACAGATTACAGTCTGAATGGAATAGCAGTCCGGTTAAAATGGTAAAAGCTGAACGGAGGCATTACCGGAAGTACAGAGGTTGGAGGGAGGGCCTTCTATGTTGCAGATTCTGAGTGCTTCTTTGCTATCAGTAGGTTTAGATTCTGTTTGTGCATCATCAAAATTTATTTCACACACATGTAAGTAGGTATTATTTACTGGAGGCTGTGCATTTCATTCATAGTCATTCTTTACCGTTTGGCCTAAATTATGTGAAATTTAAAGTATTAGTAAGTAATACCTCATTCTCCCTCTTTTATGTGGCAACTGGCTAATCGGTTTCTTGCTCTTTTAAATTGCTTTTTGATTTATATAAGGATTCTATCACATGGTTACTCTGCTAAGAATGATATTATGGCCATGAAAATGGATACAAGTTCTATCTGATTTAAACCAGGATGATTCTTTTCTCCCAAAGAAATCCCATTTCTCTGTTGAACCTTTTAATTTCGGGCCTACCAGATTAGCATTTAGAGGTCATTGTTGAGTTGAGTTGAACTTAGTCTTGTTTTCTGCTAGCTAAGGTTGGAAGTTTGAAGCCTAATTATTTGGGAGAGAACCAAAACTGCTATAAAACTTCAGATGAAAATCAATCAGAAAAAGTAAGCTCAAAACATGATTTAGAGAGTTAAATCAAACCAAACTAAACCATTTTCATTAAGTGGTGCAGGAGTTTGATTCCTTTTGGGTATTTGTGTAAAGATTTCAAAATTCAAAGTAGAAGAAGAAGAAGAAGAAGAAGAAGAAGAAGAAGAAGAAAAGGAGAACGTATGGAAGGGGTTAAAAGATGAGTATGAAATGACAACACAGAGAAATGGAGGAAAGCGATGGGAGAGTTGAGAAATGAAAGAAAAAGTGGTGAAGCGATTTTGAAAAAGTGAAAGATCCAAATGAACAGAACAGAGATGAAATCTTTTTTTTTTCTTACCTGATGAAAGGCACTATTAGTAAAAAGTGGAGATTTAAGAGAGAGGAAGAGAAGAAATTGGTATCAAGGTTGTATCAACTATTTCTAAATTTCATTTTTTCCTTTCAGATTACGATTTTCCATCACTCTATGTATATTATTTTAATTCTTTTAGTTAATCATAAATTGATGGTTCAAATCTCTTTGATAAATCAGCTGCAAAGTTTCATTAAGCCCCAACTACTTTTTCAGGAATCTCTCTTTTTGCATTTTAGTGTATATGGATGATATCCATCCCTCTTCTTTTTGGACTTTTTTTTCTCTAACACAAAATGGAGAACCCTATAACAATGATGAAGTAAATAGAATCAATGCAATATCATTGTGACAGGAAATAAAGTTTACTCAGTGTCATCATTGGTTGGGGGTTTAACCTATAGCTAAGTTGGAGCTTTTGAAACTTCAATTTTGCTTTATCTATGGGTGCTTCACACCCATTTTCTTGGCACAATTATTTGCAGCCGAATCAACTTTCTTTTGATTTATCATATGGTTATGGGTTGAGATTTTAGGTAAAATGATTATGATTCTTATTTGACACTCGAATTCGAGTGATCACATCAGAAGCCTTGTTTTAACTCTATATGACATCTTGATTGTTATGAGTCGTTCCAACTTGCAACAAATATTATAGATCAGACAATTTTGTTGTTTTACAAACCCTCAAATGATTGGCATGAAATTTGTAACATCTACATTATTAGGAACTATTCGAAATAGGTAATGCACATTGGGAAATGTTGGAAGAAAATTAAACCTCCATCGGTAGAAAAGTTGTTTGTGAAAAAGAACATTGGATGGTGGATGATGCAAACATTTATTAGGAACTATTCTCTTATGGCTTACCTCAAAGGAAGTGACAAAACCAACCCAAATGGTGTGAAATCGCTAAAAGCATAAGAATGCTCTCTTTTTCTTACGTCTTGGGAACTCTCTGCACTCTGCATTATTGCTACTTTGCTTCTCTCTCTCTCTCTCTCTCTCTCTCTCTATAAATATATATATATATATATACAAACAGAAGCTATGGCACAGGCACAGCAAAAATGGCTGTTATAGCTATAACCATTCTCTGTCTCCTCCTCTCCAATCTGCAGAGGCAGCAAATGCAGTCTCAGCCATTGCATGATCGCAAAGGTTTGTTTTCTCTTTCCTTGGTCAGAAATTTTTGTAGGGAGGGGACAAATTTTTACCTGCTTATTTTTGTTTATATGTCATTAAACAGTTGCAGAGCTCCAGCATTTGGTCGATCAAGAACTGCCCAGAAAGCTCAGAAACTCCGAGGGATTTTCTGTAAACACAAATCCCATAAAAACCCATTACTTCTGTTTCCATTTTTATCAACCAATCAACCCAATTTGTTATTTTTGTTGATATTATTGTTTCTGATGCAAAAATGGCAGATTAAATTAGATAATGCAGAGGAAGCTTCCCCTGGGGTTGGTGACAAGGAGGAAGATGGTGAGTCTCCCAGTGAGAATTTTGTTTTCTTTAATTTAAAATTTTGAAATGTTGAGATGATTGATGAGTAATTATGTAAAATTGCAGGTAAAGAAGGGCAGAAAAGGGAAATAGATGGGAATGGAGATTGGAATGAGGGTGATCCAAACTTCACAATGGATTACAGTAGCGTAAAACGACGTCGTCCCGTAAATAATATGTCTACCAAAACCAGACATCCTTAAAATTTGCACATTAAGAACATAAAAACAAAGCCCTCTTTAGTCAATGTCTATTGCAATCTTCTTCTGATCTCATGATGTCAAATTCTCTCTCTTCTCTCTTATATACTAACAAACATTTATAATATTATAATTTGTTGAAAATTTTATGATATATTTATATGGTAAAAGAAATTAGTTCAATAGTTGAAAAAAATAAAGAGAATATTTCAATGCATAGTTGTATATGTTGAGAAATATGCAAGGTTCTACAACTTATAAAGAAATTAGACGCATTGAAATATTTCAGAAGAACATAATATGAACAAAATAAAACTAATTAGAGGAAAAAATTGGTTGATAGAACATTATATATAATAAATTCTATGATTTGAATATAATTAAAATAGAAAATATATAATTATTGAGAAATTTGCTCATATATGGCAATGGGTGGTATTAAAATATATGATTAGTATATATCGGAGGAATGAAACAGGCCTGAGGCTGAGAATTGTTTCCCAAAAAAGAACATTCATGAACTATTTGAATTTAACAAACCTGAAACAAGAAGCTTTAAAATTAAATAATCTACATAAATTGAAGAGGTAGAAAAAATAAAAATAAAAGAGAGAAAATAGAAAGTGGTTGTTAGGTTGAGGACTACCCAGAGGGTATAATTGGGCCCAGGAGAACCGGCCCGTTATCCTTCCACCGACAGGAGTGGGAGGTGACGCTGCTCTGTGAAACCAGCCTCACGCGGTTTMCTCCAACTCTAGGGGCAGTGAACTATGGGCCTCCGCCCAAAGCCCAAGGGCCAACTCCCTACTTGGAATGGGAGGGCCGGTGAATCACTCCAAAGGTCCTACCCAATGGGCCGAGCAAACTTTCAACCACGTTGATGCCCCCGTTTGGGTTACAAGCTCACACTACCGAGTTCGGCGATTCGTTAGCTCGGAATTTGAATTATAAAGTCAACATTAAACTGAAATTCTAACGATGTGGGAATCTGGCCAGAACAAGSTCCCTCTTATATGGCTTCAAACAAATTTTTTGAGGTCTAAGATCTTTGTATTTTTTTTATATGTATAGAGAGAGCTTTAATTTCCAATAAGAGTATTAAAACTTTTTGTATTATATGATTTCATTCAACATCAAAAATTTTTTCCTTGTGAATTTCATTTACATTCCCTCTTACATCTACTTGTACATTTTTCATGTCGTGCTCGTAAAAATAATGTTGAAAGTTGAAACTTCATAACACTCAAACGTGTTAATTGCCGTCTGGTAATGTTAATTAACATCTGTTTGGGAGTGATTTTGTTTGATGTTCTTGATTGTTAACAGTCCTTTTATTATCAAATCAAACTTTTGAAAGATGTTTTTGAGTTCCTTTGACAAATTTATTAAGACTCCACAAGAGAACTGATACCAAATACCATCCGTTGGAAATTCTCTTCAAAAACACCACATAAGCAATTAACCAGATCAGATAGATTGTTCAATCTTTGCATGTAAATATGTAGAATCGAGATTAGRAAAGGGAGAAGTTAACAGAATACAGCTGGATTATGAAAAAAAATCCCCTCTTTAAAGCTCTGTTTGGGAGGTTTCCATTTATATGTGATACAACCATAGAATACAGAGCAATGAAATCTGGATGTGGATATCAACTTGAACCTGGATTCCTAACACTGATGATAATAGCAATATGAGTTCGAAGAAATTGTATAAAAGGCCAAGCAGGATGAAGGCGAATCTGTACAATAGTCATGGCATTCAAATTCACATTAAAAACGGTAACCGCACGGGGTACTAAACTGGAGACTCGAGATGCCAGATGATAGTCATGTCCTAAGCCGCTTTTTAGCTTGATCCGAGTCGTCTCCACTGCCCAGGTCCCCTATATGTGCCATTGCTGGGTGGCCAGAAGGAGGATTCCCAGTTTCCTGGTCAGAAATTGAAGAGCTTCATATAGTTAGCGATATATAGTTAGCAATTGAAATACAGAACTATGAAATGAGACACAGAATAACCAGATTCATCTGAAAACTGAAGAAGAGGAAAATAAATCCCACGCCAGAAATTTTTTAAAATTTGTCTGGTATAGATTCAACTTTTTCCTTGGTCGTGCTGAGTGCTATGTTTTCCACATCATGGATGATTGTTTTCATGTCGACATTTTTGTCACAGCAAGGTTATCAGATCAAATTTCTAGTTTCCATTTTCATATATTATTCTGATCTCTAACCGTTCTTCTGCTTTCTACTACCATAAGGAATATATCAGAAAAGACTCAAATAGAACTAGCCTTCCCCAAAAAAAAATGATGATAATAACAAAATAACAAAATAAAACTTAGCCTGCATAATCAACTTAATACCTTAAAGATAGGCGYTCCAAATGCTATCCCTTTATTTGCTCTCTTGCCCAGATCAATCTGAACGGAGATGCTAGCCTGTGACAAATCCAGTCCAGTATTCTGCAGAGCTTGAGTCAAGCTGTTCAATAACCTGCTCAGCACCAAGTTCCAGAGCTGTTACCAAATCCTAGGAAGAGACCATGCAAATGAACGCCTCCAAAAGCAACTATTCAGACATCTTATATGCTGGGGTTTGAACAAGTTCTACTAAAGGTCAAATCGATATTATTACTATATTTATAATGGAAGAAAAAGGTAGAAATATTTTCTTGAAGCTTTAACATCTACTGGTCATTACAAGAATCAGGCCCCAGAGTTTAAGTTCCAATGAACTTGGTAAAATCTTTCCAGTAGATGCAATATAGTCAAGTCAAGATAAATGTTTAAATCTTAGTAAAGCCCTTTATAAATAAGTTAGTGCATAACCTTGTCTATATAGACACTTTCATTAAAAAGTACACTATCAGGGTGGTGGAAATTAAGAACGACTTTCTAACCAAACAAGAAGTAAAAGCAGATGGAACCAAGTAGTTCTCTTTTCATCTTATCAGGATCAAGAAGAGACAGTATGGGGGTTTTGAAAAAAAAAAGTGAATTATTTGATTTTCTCTAAAGAAATGTATGATATGTAAATAATTGCAATCGAAATAACGAGGCCAATGATAAAAACTTCTGTCTTATGGAATCTCCATAAACCTATCATGATACTCGAAACAAAACCAGAATAAATATCTTACAACTGACCCTTCTGAATAAAGACTTGAAACGCTTATTGTCCCCCCTTCAATATCTATCTCCTCCGGTTGGCTTGATGCATTGTTGGGGATAGGACACTCTGTTGTCTGTGCATCACAAATTGGAATGTGAAGAGATTGATCAAGAACACTGTCACTACGCATAGAAGTATGCATATTTCCTTCTAGAGACATGGGATGAGAAACTCCTTTATTTATTATGTCAGCGTCCTGCATAATATCTCTGCCTGTGTGGGAATCGAGGGGATTTTGTGAGCTTGCAAGCATGGCGGGTGAAATTGAAATGTTGTTGTCATCAAACTTCCCTGGATACGTTGGTCCTGAAGCAGAACCATTTTTACCAGACTGGGGATGGCCAACAAAAGTCTGCATGCGCCAGTGACTGTTTCTCTGCATAACACAGTACAGTTTAGAATACTAAACAAAGAACTAAGAAGTGCCTCAGCAGAACAAAATTCCTGATTCAAAGAATCATATCATGAATCTTATCAAAGGTTAAGAATTCACCACTACAATATTTCTTCTTTATCCAAAATAGGCATATGATGTTGAAAAGGATAAAATCTTAGTCAAACAGTCGGTTAAAATTTATTAACTTACATATCAATGTTGAACTCACAGATCATAGAATAAAAACAAACATCATTAAGACCTTAGGTTGACTTAGAGAGAACCCATAATTCCTTTGACATTTTTTATTACCAGAAATCACCCAGATTGTTCTAGGTTCCAAATGGGGCCTACTACCTAACATAAGTAAAAATTTGTCCTTGAGAGGTCGGCAAGATATTTACAGGTTAGTGGCTTGAGGTTGAGGTATTTCGAACCTTGTGATGACTCCTAGGTGTGTTATGTGTAGAATCCAAAGTCCTTACCTTTACACCCAAACTCTTTTTTCCTCAAAAAAGGAACTGCAACTTTTTGGTATAGTGATAAGTGTTACAAATACTATACCGAAAATCCTTGTCACCCCACTAGAGGTTTACAAGAAGGACCTCCAGTTTGAAGTAATTACAAATGGGGTATAGAAAAAGCATTTCTCTAACGAACACTATTCAGAAGCATCAATACTAGACTTCTCCTTCACCCAATTTCTGGCCTCTTCGTTAAATATCCGATGATTTCTTTGCAACCACATCTCTCAAATAACCCCTTTTGATAGATTGACCCATACGATATTTTTCTTCCTAACCCCATTCGAACATCTTTTACCATATATTGCAGTGGGAAAAATGCATGTGAATGAGTCTCGTTCTTTTTCTCACATAGTACACATTCAAATAAATCAGCCAACAACCCCCAAAGGCAGCGTTTAGTGGTTCAAATCAGGCGATCCATAGGAGAACTTCAATTTTCTTTGAGACATTCTTTCCGGCACCATATTAGTTACATTCCTCTCAAGAGCATACTCTGAATCTATGAGCCTCATAAATAAAATTTTGTTTGAGCAAGATAAAAGATGGAATAAAGTTCAAACCTTTACATCTTCAGCACCTCTTTTCACTAGAGAGTAGAGGGATAGTTTTTCCTATAATGACTAATTTCATCTTCCGAATGACTTCTTAGGAAAACTCTCCACCTCATATTTTTGTCCCAAAAACCTTTCACAAAACCAGCTTTGTCCATTGCTATATCATATGATCTGAAGAATGTGCTTTCTAGAGGACAGTTATCTTCTGATACATCATCCCAAAACGATATTTTGCTTCCATTAGTATCTTTCCACCTTCAGTTTACGATATAGTGAATGTGCTTTAAGCCCAGCCCAACCCGTGAAACTAACTTAATTTCTATCTGAAAAAAAAATAGAAACGGAATAGGTAGTAAGAAATATAAAGAAACAGAGAGGACAACGAAAAGAAAGCTACATCACCGTAGCTCCGCAATTAATGATCCGAGGGACAAAATGCCCATGTTGTCCCACCAACTAATATTTCTTATACCTTCTAAATTTTCATAGCTAATCTTATGCTATGTTATCACAAATATAAAGCAAGGAAGCATTCAATAATGACAAGCAAGTTAGTGAATGATAACTCCCAAACACGATAAAGGAAAAGCATTAGGTCTTCACCCATGGTATTAACTTAGTGGGTTCCCCGCTCCAATTCTGATATGAACCCTCGTACTTCTGCACCTTTTCCTGTAAAAACTGGACATACTCAATCACCTGCATAGAAATACTAGTTTTAGTCACTGGAAGATAATAAAAGACTAGAAAATAGCAGAAGAAAAATAGATACTTTACAGCTTCAACATTATCCCAAATTCAATAAGAAACCGTATACCTCCAACAAGAATGATGCAGTGTCTCTCTTTTGATCGCTGTGAGGTATAAGCTCTCTCAAAATCTGGAATCTGAAATAAAATAGATCTTGGTCAAGTGCTGTCCATTTAATTGCAACTTATAAACTTCATGCTCCTCGGATCATAGTAAGAGGTGCATATCCTCTCTGTAATATGTCAATCACTGAGATAAAATCGTCATTCAACATGATTTACAAACAACAGAACGAAAAGACCTGCCAACTGTGATCACAGTAATTTCTCTAACAATCTTGAAGCACCTTAATGACTGTTTTTCAAGATTACCTCTCATTTATCTTGCTTCGTCTGCGCTGCTCCGTAACAGAGTGCTTTGACCGTATGGCGCTAGCCTTGTCGTTGTTCTTCGCATCTAGTTCCAAGTTCAATTACAGATAAAAAGAATCAATTAACAACTTAGATAAAATTAAACCAATTCCCTTATAAAAGAAATTCTAAATAACCGATACTAAAATCAGAAACGTATTAATTTACCCGCCAGAATCAAATAGACATCATCAGAAAGTAAAACTTTAGTATCTCGAAACACAAAAAAATAATAACCAAAAAAAGAAAACTTTAGATATAGGGAGAGCAACATAGTAAAATGAAATCCACAATTGAGAGCCAAATCAATTAAAGRGGAATCAGCGCAAGAAACGAACACCGAAATAAGAAAGGCAAAGAATGGCATGACATCGTACGATATCATAACTTGAAGAATTGGATCTAGAATGAAAAAAGAAGAAGGCCAACGTGCAGAAACAAAGATACCTTTGCTGTTTCCGATGCTATTGTTAGCATTGGAMGTAGAAGAAGGCCCCTCTCTTTTAGCAACCAACTCGTCCTCCTCGTACTCTTCGTCCTCCAGATTGCTTTTCCCCGTTCTCATACTTAATTCAGGTTGGCCGGTCCAAGTCTCCAATCCTTCTGTACTGAGACTTCAGCTCCCCGTACAGCTCCAGAAACAGAACAATTACCGAATTGCGCCAATTCAAAGACGCTGCCAAGCACCAGAATCGAAGTGTGATGTAATTTGAGGACCACGAATGCAAAAGAGTAGGGAAGGGAAGGGCGTGAACTTTGCTGAGATTTGATGTTAACGATTCGAAGATGTGACGGCCATGGCCGCCGGCGCCGCCTAGAGGCAGTTGTCGGTGAACGGAGCGCCGGGCGGGCGCTTTAGTCTGCCGGATTTGGCTGCCGCCGAACACGAACGAGWTTCAGTGGGATGCATCCGCCAGAAGAATCCCATACAGCTGAGCTCATGCTTTTCCCGTGATTTCTCTTTTTAGGCCGTAACATTTTGAGCTCTGGTTTGGGCCGGCYCAATCCTTTTCCACATGTTGGGCTTCAAATTGGGCCGACATTTGGATCACAAGGCCCCAAATCCCGTATTCTCATCTTAGCCTGTCCATTAATCTTCTAACATATGACTAAAACCCAGTCTTCCAATTTCTAAAATTTTAGACTTGAAATAATAATCAGATTTGGATATTTTCTTACAAAAACAAACATTAGTTTGGACTTTGGACTAATAAATAACATCCTTCCTCTTTATGTTATTGGCCACTCAAGATTAACAAATAATTTAAATTATATCTCTAATTTTGTTAGGGTAGGACAATAAAATAGATAGATTTGACATGATCGACCCATTTAGCAAACACGTCAATTGATATAAGGTTTTTTTTTTTTTTGTCGAAAACTCCAATTCTTATATTCTACATGCGGGTCGAGTATACATACAAAATTTTTTATATCAAGCCAATACAAATAAAGACSATCGTAAAAACATAAATTTTGGGCCAATCATAAACGGTCACGTCATTATCTATTTTATTTATGGATTAATTATATATTAATCCTAAATTAAAATTAAAAATAATTTGACAATTAAAATATGTAATTTGGTCACCTAATTTACAATGAAATAAAGTGGATTGATATTTAAATTTAAATAAATCTATTTGAAGAATTGGGTTCACCCAAAATTTTTCAAATCCAATGAGCCAGGCMTATGGAAACCTCTATAAATAGATGAGATAATTCATTTCACCCAAAATTTTTCAAATCCAAYGACTCAGGCCTATGGAAACCTCTATAAATAGATGAGAGAATTCATACGAAGTTAAAGATTCTCTGAAGAGTTGAAGATTTTCGAAAAACATATTCGAGTGAAARAATCAGACGATAAATATTAGAGATTGAATACACCATACAATACATRCAAACAATATAAAAGTTCAACTTCATGAAATATAATTTATCCGGAAATTTCGTGCGAACACAGACTTTAATCAATTTTTGTCGAGGAATTTGATTCGATTTCAATGCAACTATAGTTCGTAACAATTGTCCATCAATGTCAACGATGGTTTGATTGATAGTTTAACTCAAAAGCATCTTTTCCTATTTTTTTCATATAAAAATATATAATCTAATATGTGTGATTTTTAAATCAAGTTGATCTTTAACTTATTTTATTAATAATGACGATAGTAGGGCCGGACAATGTGAGGAGCATTTCAAAATTTTATTCTCATGCTTGTCCCATTTCTTAGTTTAGAGGTTAGGATTCTCCCCACATAAAAATCTCCATTTTATAACATTATTTTTTTTCTTTTTAATTGAAACGTAATCAAAGTTAGGATAGGAAAATAATTTATTCCTTGTCCTTAACCCAATTTCAAACGAAAAAGAAAATTATCTCTCCAATTTCTTAAAATACAAAATTTATATACACACATTTTCTTGTTAAACCACGGATGAGGTGAAAGTTAAAATCTCTAATTTTTTTAGTTGAAACAAATGGTGCGGAGGTGGAGCATGAATCTTGGATTTTACAACTTTAAATTAGATAATAAATTATTGTTTATTAATTAGAATAGTAAAAGTAAAATTACAATTGTGTTTCTAAACATTTAAATTGAACAAAGTATCGAATAGATCTCTAAATTTTTTATTTTATGTATAATAAATTCGTAAATTTTAAWTTTTTTGTTTAATAGATCCATTAATTTTCAATTTTATATATAATATTAATTGACATACTTAACCTTTTAAAAATTCATAAACACGCTAGGTATTATATGCTTTTAGAGTTGATTAGGATTAGTTACTCTGAAAGTAAAAAAATACGTATTTTTGATATTTCTTACCATTAAAAATTTAAATGTCGAATGAAAATAAATTTTCACATCAAATTTTTTCAAAAGGAAAAGAAGCCACTAGATAACTCTGGTTGTTTTAGTGACAGTATATGAGAATATGAATTAAAAAATTCGATATTTTAGTTTATTATACGTACTTTAATCAATTGAGTTGTACTCATATTTTTCAAATATTTGATATAGATAAATACAAGATTAAATATAAATTAAATTTTTAATTTGAGTAAGTAGAAAGAAAAATGACATCACTCGAGTTAGAAAGTTTAAACATCTATACTCTCCACTAAAAAAAATATTATTTATATAATTAGGTCACAAAAAAACCGACATACAACTCGCAACAACACTCCAAACTTAAAAAACCAAAACAAATCAATCAAACGTTAGATATTCTTCCCTCGCAGTACAGCACACCATCTGACAGAGCACTTCATCTAACGGTCCACATTTGCCAACTGTAATATCTGTTATTTTCTTCCTACGTGGCTGCGGGCCCCAGTCGCAACGGTGGGTGCACAGTGATTGCGTACGTGCTCCCGCACGTGATCAGACACGGCCGCCACGAAAACCGGTGGCGCCGCGGCCTCCGGGCGTGATCCCATGTGCGCCCATCCACCGGAATTGGACTCTGATCCCCATGCTGACGTGTCAACGTGTCCGTACTTTCACAATTTGCAGAATCTTTTTTGTCCATTCCCCATTATTTCGGTACAATGAATTTGCCTCACTTTTGTTCTTTTTTCCCCCTATTTTTATTGTTTTTCCCCCACTATATTTTATTCATTTGATCATTACAATATTTGAGTTGTCTTGAATAATATAATGACTCTTCTTTGCATAGAGAAATAATAATTAAAGAGTACATTGGTAATATTTTTTTTACGATACGTAAATATAAGAATTCGAATTCACGATTTCTTAACCAGAAATATGTAATTGATTAATTTGAAGTCACAACTCCTTAATAAGTTGTATATAACTTGATGATTTGAAATTATTTAGATTAGCAATATTTTTCTATTATAGTTTTGGATTTCTTTAGAAAGAAATATTAATTTATTTTGGGAAGGCATTTATTAATTATTCTATGGGCATTTACTTAAATAACATAAAATATATATATTTTAAAGTTCTTCAAGTAGCTTAGTACGCATTTCTAAATTTACATTGAAGTTTTAGAAACTAAAAGAATATATATATTCTTTTGTTTTTTTTTTTCGTGGCAATATAAATAAAACTATTAATTTAATATTTTCTATTATCAATACAAAATAAAATTTTAAAGTTTAATATTCCTTTCTTCTCGATTCATTACGTTTTAGTCCTTCTATTTTTAAAATATCTTCAAACTTGATTTTAAATCTAACTTTAATCAGATGGATTATTTGACTTTAATCAACGCCGATTGCATGAGACGAGTGTGAATACAATTTTTTTTAACAAGAATAGGAAAATACTAAGCAATAAAATATTTGCAAGAATCATAATAATTACTATCCAAGTGTTTATGAGGTAAAATAAATATTTTGAAAGTTTATAGACTAAAAACGAGATTTAAATCAATTCTAAAATCTTCTTATTTGTTGTGATTGAAAAATTGACAGCTCACTATTTGATGCATTAATTTGTGTTAGTCGTCCATATTTTAGTGGTAGTAAGTAAGGGATATCTTATTAGTAAACACATAAATATTATTCATTTTATAAAAACATTACAGGAATTTTTGAAATAAATATGAATGTTATCGAATAGACTAATAACTTATGAGACTTCAAAATCATAATAATTTTATTTCTTTTTTTTAGTACAACAAGTGAGCGTGAGGGAATTCGAGACCTCTTGATCACGTATCGATATCAATTACTACTGAACTAGCTCATGTTGGTCGTAATAAATGACATATGTAACAAAATTTGAATTAGCAATAGACTATTTATACCAACTAATATTTGTTAGTTGAAATATTTCAATGGAGTGTCATGTATTCTAATTTATTGGTAAAAGTGACAGTTTTTCACTAAAAACTCATTTGACAATCAAATTGTTTTTGCTAAAAACTTGAAACTTCAATTTTTGTTGTCCCGAAACAATTGATGTGCACGACAAATGAACTTGTTTTTACATATATATATATTTTACGGTAAACGGAAAATTGAGGGAGGCACGATAACCAAAACCAAATCTGAAAAAAGTGGGCAGCAATATTAACAAAAGAATAATTTCCACGAATAATAATAATTCGATGGCTATAATTACCTGTGTCTCCCTCCCAACTCAAGACAGTCCAATAGAAAAAGCAAAAGCGCAGTGTAGTGGACCAACGATGTGTGGCCACGTCAATATATTGGACGACATTGGTTAGGAGGCCCGTCCCATCAATTTTCACAAAAGCGAACAGCATGGTAAAAAACGGAGTTACCTTACCTTCACCAAGAAACCACAAAATGGTACAAGACTTCAACTCTTTCAAGTTTTCGCATTCGAGATGAATAATAATACGGATTACTGGCTCGTGAATGCAACCTTTTAATTATTATATATTACCATATTCAATTATATGTAATTAAAAAGTTTTTAATAATATTAAAAAATTACGTTGGTTTCATACATATGTATACATTTTTTTTTATATTTATAGCCCAAATAATGCAAGTTGAATAATCCTTACATTTAGTAGTATGATTTCTACTAAATTATTGCTATTTTATTTTTTTTAAATAAAATATAATATAAGAGATATGATGGTGGGAATTTGAATATTCAGCAAGTTATTAATATCTCTAATAAAGGCATGTTTAAATTAACTCAGAAAAAATATAACGTGTATGCATGTAGATTTATAAAATAATTAGTTTACTTATGATTTGGTTGATTTATTGTGGTTTTTTTAAACGTATTTTAGTATAACAATAACAATACATAATTAAACATTTTTCTTCTGG